ACATAAAGTGCAAAGGGATTTATTAGGCAGAATTGTAGAAGTACACAAAGAAAGAGAGCTCAGCCCTTGAGAGGGCTCAGAGAGGTACTTTGTGCTCTTGAGCTGGGCATATTTATGGGGACTTGCAGGTATCTCTAAAATGGGTTATTTAGGATGTATGTTCTGGTGTCTGTCTGGTTTTGTCCACTTGGTGGGCTGTATTAAAATGTAAACCATTCACATGTGTTTTAAACTACAGTATACTGTTCTCTTAATAGTGAGCTTTTTGATGATGGGGGATGGAATGAGGTTGTGCCATTTATAGGTGAAATTCAATGGCCCAGATCCCAGCTTATAGGCATGATAACTTTAGGATCCTTAGGAATTTTTCCTGGAAGACAGAACTTGAATAACATTGTGTCTTGGAGTTGCATTTTAAATAAAAAGTATAATTTTAATATTACAATTTTCTTATCTCCTTTCTATTTATCTTTATTTTTTTGTATCATACCTCAGTTGGATTGGAATCTTTCTTTTTCTGGTATATCTTTTTTTTTTTTTTGAGACAGGCTCTAGGCTCTCATTATGTAGTTGAGACTGACCTGGAACACACTATGTAGCCTAGGCTGGTCTCAAACTCACTGTGATCCTCCTGTCTCAGCCTCCCAAGTGCTGGGATTACAGGCGTGCTCTACCACGCCCAGCTCTGGTATATCTTATAGGACAAAATATTTTGTGGAATCACACTTTGAGAATTATTGAATTATTAAAAGTATTACTTAGGTAATAATGGTGAATTTAATCAAGCTTCTCATTTCACTCGTAGCCCTTCCAACCTACTTTCCTTATTTTGCATTAGACTAGAGTTTCAGCATCATGTGGTAGTTAAGAGGCAGTCCTCCAAAACTAGACTTCTAAATTCTAAATTCTGTTGGATGTCCTTGAGTGAGTTATTTAAGCTTTGTCTTCCTTACTTTCCTCACTTATAAAATGCAGATTGGTGATAAACTATTATGAGATTATGTCAGTTAGTGCATATAAAGTACTTAGTAGAATGCTGAGCACTTAGTAAGCAATTTAAAAGCAGACATGATGACGAGAACCTCAGGAAGGGATATTAGCTACTTTTACTGTAACGAGGAATGAAATAATAAGTTTCTGTCAGGATATTAGACTGAGGAGAAGAAAATGCTTTCTGTTGGGTTCTACTTGGTAGCAAAAATAAAGATGGTACAAATTTAAGAATATGTTCTATGTTCTCTTTGTTCAAACTTCTGCTCTTTAAAACAATTGTTTACTGACTACTCCTCTGGGGAGTATAGAGACAACAAGATTTTTGGTAGGGGCATCTATTTAGATGCATATCAGAGCTGAGCACCTTAAATTTCCAGAAGAACTGGCTCTATCTTTCATTCATTTGATAAAGGGAGCCTATAGTTTTATCATTACTCATACATAATCCTTGTTTTTGCCAAAAAGCAATGTTAATTTTTGCTCCTTTGTTATAAAAATCTTTTTTTAAACAAATAAAGCTACTGATATTCATGGAGAATCACATAAAAGGTATAGTATTCAATCTGATATTTCCTCTAAGTTCTTTTCAGTTTACCCTTAGCAAATAGACAATGAGACAGGTAGATTTTAACTCATTAGTGTGACCTTGTAGAATGACTTCCCAACTGCTCTGTATGGGCCTGCAGTGAGCCTGCAAGCAGAAGGAACTGTGTCACAGTCACTCTGAGAGTTTCCCATGAGAAAATTTTATCTCAAGCCTCTGTGCCTTTCCATAAACCACTGATATGCTATTATTGACAAATGTACTGATTTGGACTAATAATGCTTCTGTTTTGTTTTAGATAGTTGCTAATATATCCAGAATGGAATTTGAAGCTTATGCTAAGTGTTGAATGTCTTCTTAGCCTTCTTTTCTGCTCCCTGCTCTGTGCTCTGGGGTCTTACTGTATGGGCAGTGTCAAGGGGAATTTGTTTCCTGGTGCTTTCATTATATTTGACCCATGAGAGGCACCAGGAAGGGATCCAAGGGCAAAAAGAGAGTGAGATTAGGTACTTAAACTCTCTGTAGGTTGGGACATTGCAGGTTAGTTACTTCCCTTAATAAGCCTGCAGCTCTTATCAGGTAGCCCACTGCATATAGTTCTTTCTCTGGGCACCACTAACAACTTCCTTAACTTTCCCTTTAGGTTAGGAGTAGTGAAAACTCCTAGAGAAGTTTTTTTTTTTTTTTTTTTTTTTTTTTTTTTTT